TTCTCATTTCCCAGTTGTGGGTTTTGGATTCCAGGGACTGATGTTGTTGTCCGCTGGCTTTGTTTATCGGGATTCATTGAATCGCCGGTCTCCGTATCATCCTTTGTTAATCTTCTCCTTAGTGTTAAAAAAAACTATCTTTTTGTTAAAATAGAATCACATATACATTGTTTTCTTTAGTTGACCATCTTCGAAATTTTATCTTAATAAAATGATATGTCAAATCATTGATTTCTTTAACCATTATTAAATATATCACAAATGTTTTTGAAAAATTAAGGATTAACTACTAATCTGACTCAAGATTTAACTAAACAAAAATATCTTCGCATTTGTTTTGTTTATTTATGCACAAAAGTTTAATTTAATTATAAATATATTTCCTTTTACTATTACAATCTTATCAAAATCATTCCAATATCATGTTCATTTTACACAATATATATATATATATATATTGTTAATTATAAAAAAAATATAATCTAACATTAAGCCAAACTATAATGCTCATCTTACAAAATGAGTTAACTTTTTATCTAAAATAATATTTCATTTTAAAAGCATTAATCTGCAAGTTAGTCATCTTTATTTCTTAGTAAGCAAAATAACTCGAAAGATTTAAGATCATCAATGATATCATAAGTACTATTTAATTTTACTCACAGCTGCATTTAGATAATTTTACTATTTAATTGTAGAACTATCTATTTTATTAAAAGATAATCATTTAGATTTTTCATGTGTGATATTTTTAACTGACCATTCTTAAAGAAATCTCTTCAAATGGTACTTAAAGATAGAGGGACAAAAAATACTAAATTACGCAAAGATGTATTACTATCGGATATAAGCAAAAACTCTTTATTTAAAAATAATGAAAATGAGAATACGGGATGGCATCATATCGAGTACAATATCAACTATGTAGTGATTCATGTCGTTTACCAAGTGGAAATTGATGGTTTTCTTTAAGCACAACTTATGGCTCAACAACAACAGGCTCAACAACAACATCTTATGGCTCCACAGCAACATATCATGGTGTAGCAGCATAAAACACAACTGAAGAGTGAAGAATTTCTGATGGCTGACGAACAAGTGCAACACATTCATAATGAAGAAGAACTCGAAAATGCGATCAGAGCCGAACTTGTACAAATTTATTCAAAATATTTTAAGAATCGTCATATTGTGGGGGCCACAAAACTTTTCTATTTGTACATTTATGTTTATATACATTTAAGTTTTTTAAAACATTTTAAGATACTCATTTTGTGGGGGGGGGGGGCACAAAACTTTTTCTATTTATATATACATATATCTAAATGTTTTTCTATAAACTAATATATCTAAATGTTTAAGTGTGAAAAAGAAGTTGACCGAAGAAAGATTGGTAAAAAAGAAGAGCGTTTCAGTTTTAGAGGTGACAGTAGAATGATATAGGTGTTAGTGAATTATGAATTTGTAATGATTGTTAGACTTTTCATATTCTATTGTTATTGGTTAGTGGATTCTTCCCAACATTCCTATCAAATCTACTAGTACTGTTGCTAGTTTAATAATTGTTTAATGACTTACAAAATCTATTGTTACTAAAAAATTTTGGTTTTTTAATGATTTCAAATTTCATCAAATCTAGTATTATTGGAAATTGAATTATAAACTGTTTTACTCGTTAAAAAAAACTTCCAAAATCTTGCATCTACTATATTATAACAGAGTCATTCTTTTTATCTACTGATACAAGTTGTTATTTAAATTTGGACTCTTCCTAGAATGTTACAAATAATATAAGTCATATAATTGATTGAACCGTATTACTTAAATTAAACCAACACATTTAATGTAAAGAGACGACCTTAATGTAAACTACCTTCAAAATATGGCAGGTATCTATGTGTATACCGAAAACACATATTTTCTCCTACAAATATGGAATGTTCTAAAAGAATATATATCATCAAAATATGGAATATGGAAATCTACTAATTATATTTAAATTAAACAAGTGGTTTTTTATGGAATATAATCTTAGGCTTACTTTTATTTTTTGAACAAATTATATAGTTTGGTTTTTGGGCTTAGTATTAAGAAAAAAACTCTAAAAACATTGAATAAACTTTTCACCTTAAAAGATCGAAAATCAATTATTATTTTCAGACCCAAAAGGTATTTAATATTTTTAACAAAACAAAATTATCTATTATTAATCATTTATTTAAATCATGTACTTTTAAACATGTTAATATATTTTTTTTTATTCTAAATAACAATCACTTTGTTTTGATAAATTTCAATGGTAACTTTTAAATAATTTATTGTTTTATTTTTCTTAAATAATTTACTAATTAAAAAAATGTAAAGCAAAACCAAAAACCAAATCTAAAAACTAAAATCCAAAACCAAAAGCTGAAAACACATGTTATATTTTTTTGCTTTGTTTATTTACAAAATAAACTATTTCAATTTTTTTTTAATTTGTTGTCATCTTTTCAGTTTTGAATTAGATGTTCGATTATTTGAGATTTATTTGTTGGTAATATTAGTTCAAACTAACTTAGCGGGTTTAAAAATTAAAAACCCAAACCAAAAACTGAAATGAAAAGTAGAAACTTAAAAACTAAAAACAAAAATCTAAAAATAAAAACTGAAACTAAAAACTAATGAAAAATAATCATCACCCCAAATTTTGGTGAACTGATTTTATATCAAAATATTATTTAAACTAAGACAAAACCCAATTATATAAATTTTTAATCATAAACAATTTCCGCGCTTTCAAGCGCGGGTCAAAATCTAGTTTTCTCTAAATTCTTAAAATCACTAATATTTTCATGCATTTTTAAATATCAAAACTTCTTAGAAATCTTTACAATTCAATAAATTTCTTGACTTTTAGAATCAACCAACTCTACATAAATCTTACTCCCTTTAATCCCTCTTTAGTTGAGTCATAGATTCGTAGATAATTTTGATTCAAAAGATATGTTATAAAAAAACTAAAATAACTAAAAGCATTGTCTCTTTTTCTCACAAAATTTGCGAGATAATCTTTTTCAGTTTAAAAAGGTCTTTCTCAGTTTGTTCTCATTAGAAACAAATTTTTTTTTTCATAACAAAACCAAAGAAAAAGTTTTTCGATTCTCATGTATAAATCAAAACTGTAGTTGCTTTTAACAAACATTTTAATTTTTATTGATATGAACCTCACCAGATTAAACAACCGTTTTGTTTAAAAAATTAATCATCATTTTTAATAATATGAAAACTTAATTGCACAATATAGATAACTTTTTATATTTTTTTGGAATGGGACCCCCCAAATTTATAGGCCCCACTCTGGATGTGGTTCAACCTTTTCTCAATGGTCGAGTACGTGTCAACAAGTGGTGATGAAGCATGACATTCTAGCTATGAAATTAGATCATGCTGTTCTTCAAACAAATCAGGTAAATGTTTCTGTTCCAGCGGAAAAAAGAAACTGGTCAACCAGGGGATAAATAATAAAAAAAAAGTGTGAAAGTGTGCTTAACTCAACAAAAACGTAGAGAACACACATACCTATCCTACATAGAGGCTAGAACTCCAGAGATATCTCAAAAGAGAGTACAGAGAGCCCTAGAGACATGAGACATCCATATCGTTATCCGCTCGCTTGTAAAAAATCCTCTTCTAGGTACCTTGTTCTCCGAGTCAGCTCCATAGTATACCTGAAAGAAGCGAAATAAATGAACTTAGTCTTTAGTTTGTCAATAATTGTCTGTTATACAGATACACTCATACACTCCTAATTTATAACTTCATCACAGCCATAGAAATTCAATAAAACAATCTTGGCCGTTGATAAGGAGAAGAAAAAGTGAAGACTCACCCAAGTTTTCTTTTGAGCAGAATGATTTGCAATTTTGGAAAAGATCCATTCGGTGAAGAGATTGGAAAAAAAATAGTTGAGAGTGGTATGGTATAATACAGTAAACTCTCCTCTCTCGCTGAAGTGAGATCCAACAAAACTTGCAAGTTGCAACTCGTCGTAAGCATTGTGTTCATTGAGTATATACATTGTTGAAATAATATAAATTACTTTTTAGCAAAAAAAAAAAAAGTAATATAATTATTTGACAAAAAAAGACACTCAATAAGCATAACGTTAGAGTAAATCAATGGAGTGATGTACCACCAAACAGTCTTGCAGGAAAATATAAGATTAATACATTTCTGCTTTTCAAACTTCTCCATAGAATCCATAATGGTAGCTCATGAGAATGATCTAATCTTGGTTGTAAACAGATCCTCAGACAAATTTCCATCTTCTCTTTAAATGTTGCTGATGAACTGTCAATGATGGCATGTGAGATACCTGAAGCTCTCCATAAGCCCCTAGCGTAATCACAGTAAAAAAAGAGATGTTTCTCTGTCTCCATTTCTCTCCACATCTGCAACATTGATCCTCACTAATAACATGCCTTCTCCTCAGATTTTCCCCTGTTAGCAAACTCTTAGACAGTAATCTCCAAAAGAAATGTTTAATTTTCGGAGGAGTCTCTGTTTCCCAAATCTTTTTCTTCAGCTGAACATTTTTTCAGTGAGAACATTTATCTCCCCCACAAACTTCTTTAGTCAGCCTGAAAATATTCATAGAATAAATAGCTAATGCTAATGCTACTGCCTTAATCCTTTCCTTATGTTGATGTGTATTTACTGAATAAATTTGATATTTATTCTTGGCTTTTGACATCGAACATATTTCCCGTGGTGGGGTTCACGCGGGGAGTAATAAAGCCACTCAATTCATGCCTGATAATATTTTATTCAATTTTTTTTTGCCATTAAAAAACAAATTACATATTAAAAAATCCTTAATTTACGGTAATCAACTTTAGTCACTAATTTCATTTTGAACCTAATCTCCCAAAAATACTAAATTTTAGAAAAAGAAAAAAGAAAAAACAAAGAGGGAGAGAGGGAGGCAGCAACAGAAGAAGAACAGTGGGTGTCGTCGTCTTGTCTTTTGCATTTCACACACATCTTCGAAAGCGATAAATAATATATATATAAAAAAAAAAGCTACCTTTCTCCTTTTTACTTGTTTCAAATTTTCAGAATTCGATCCACAAGAACTGAGGAATCGAATCCCCAGGAACCAATCTACTGTAAGTCTTTCTCTTTTGCCTTTTCCTCACCACAAATCGCGGGTCTCTGTCTCTGTGTTGTGTTTTTTTTTTTTTTTTCCTAATCAAACGCTTGTTCTTGTGTGTTTCATTACATCCGTCTCTGTTCATGCATTGTCGGGATCGAGCTTTTGTCCGAATTGCATTGATTTGAGGTTTAATAGTGATTCCCATGATTATTTCAGATCTATTAGCTTGTGTTATTTTACTTGGAAATGATCATGTGATTTGACTTGTATTTTGGCTTAATAAAATTCTGCAAAATTAGATTCATAATGTCTTTTGATTTGAATATAAGGTTAGGTTGTGTGGCTCTCTACCAACAAAGTTTCCAGATAGAAAAAGTTTTCAACTTTGAATTGCTTTAGTTTTTACATTCTTATTACTTCACCATGCTTCTGTTTGAGTCTGAGTTAGCTAATCTATTTATAATATTATCTTATTTTGTAGGTGTGAGCAAAGTAGAAATCAAATCCAAACCTCTACTCACTTGTAGTTAACTAAATAGCTAAAGAAGAAAGAAATGGAGACCGCAAAAGCTTGGGTGAAAAAGCTAAAATCTAAAGACAAGGTGAAAAAGAAGGAAGCGGCAGCAGCAATGGAAGTGCCAAAACCACCTGGTGGAGGTGAAGAAGCGCTTTCAAATGTAACCAAAGAGAAAGCTGCTGCTGCTAAACTTTATATTGAAAACCATTACAAAATGCAAATGCAGTCTCTCCAGGAAAGAAAAGAGCGGTAATGCTTTCTTCTCCCTAACGTTTTCATGTGAACTTACCATCGAAATCCTTAGGCTTTTTTTTTTACATTTCATCATGCAGCCGCAAAATGCTAGAAAACAAATTAGCTGCTGCGGAAGTCTCTGAGGAAGAGCAAAACAACTTGCTGAAGGATTTGGAGTTGAAGGAAACTGAGTACATGCGCCGTCAGAGGCATAAAATGGGAGCTGATGACTTCGAGCCTTTGACAATGATTGGGAAGGGTGCTTTTGGAGAGGTTTGATTCTTCTCCTCAGCCCCAGTTGCATCTTGAAAGCTCTCTCTGAGGCATCTTCATAAACATGAGTTTTATGTTTTACTCTCTATTTGCAGGTTAGGATCTGTAGGGAGAAGGGAACAGGCAATGTCTATGCAATGAAGAAGCTTAAGAAATCTGAGATGCTTCGCAGAGGCCAGGTAATTTTGATTCCCTGAGCCGCTGCTTTCTCTCCGTTGATGTGTTTCTGAAATGTGATTTTTTTTCAGGTGGAACATGTAAAAGCAGAGAGAAATTTACTTGCAGAAGTTGACAGTAACTGCATTGTCAAACTGTATTGTTCTTTTCAAGATGACGAGTATTTGTATCTCATAATGGAGTATCTACCTGGTGGGGATATGATGACTTTACTTATGAGGAAGGACACCCTTACTGAAGATGAAGCTAGGTTTTACATTGGGGAAACTGTCCTGGCTATTGAGTCCATTCATAAGCACAACTATATCCACAGGTCAGCGAAGCTGCAGGACATATGATCTTAGTCCCATGTTCAGTGTCATTTGTTCTAAAGATTGTTTCTTTTTGTTTGTCCCCAGAGATATCAAGCCTGATAACCTGCTACTTGACAGAGAGGGTCACATGAAACTGTCAGATTTTGGATTGTGTAAACCATTGGACTGTAGCAATCTTCAGGAGATAGATTTCACTGTTGCAAGAAACGTTAGTGGAGCTCTACAAAGTGATGGTCGCCCTGTGGCAACAAGGCGCACCCAACAGGAGCAACTGCTAAACTGGCAGAGAAATAGAAGGATGCTTGTAAGTTTCACCTTTCTCTACAGTGATATATAATTATAAAAATAGAATGACTTATTAAGGTTATTGGTTTCAGGCTTATTCCACAGTTGGAACTCCTGACTATATTGCCCCAGAAGTTCTGCTGAAGAAAGGATATGGAATGGAATGTGATTGGTAGGTGCAATCAACTATTGGGATTTATTATTTTCTTTGGTGGCTGCAGATAATTTAATCTTTTGAGATTACTCCTGAATAGGTGGTCCCTTGGCGCCATTATGTATGAAATGCTTGTGGGGTTTCCACCATTTTATTCAGATGATCCAATGACAACTTGCAGAAAGGTAATTAATTAATCCATTGCTTTTGTGATCTCAAGTTTATGTAGTTTGGTAATTCTAGTGAACTAATGTGGAAAGCTTACCTTTTCTCTTTTTTTTTTTTTCATTGTCTTCCCCCTTGTGTAGATAGTAAACTGGAGAAATTACTTGAAATTCCCAGAAGAGGCTAGACTATCACCAGAAGCCAAGGATCTTATTTGTAGGCTTTTATGCAATGTTGAACAAAGGCTTGGAACCAAAGGAGCAGATGAAATTAAGGTGTTGTGTGCATTATTCCACTTTTGAGATTCCAAGTTCACCCTACAAAACGCTTTGAATGGTTTGTTTTAGGGTCACCCTTGGTTCAGAGGAACCGAATGGGGAAAACTGTACCAAATGAAGGCTGCATTTATTCCTCAAGTCAACGATGAGTTGGACACCCAAAATTTTGAGAAGTTTGAAGAGGTAAACATGCTTGATACCATCAACTTATGAAGTAATGGTGCCACAGATGATATTTATGGTTCCTGATATATATTACTATTCTTTAATTCCTTGTGGAATAGGCTGACAAGCAAGTTCCAAAGTCGTCAAAGTCAGGTCCATGGAGAAAGGTATGCAATAGACATCGAATCCTGTGAAGTTATAAATGATATTATACATTTTTGTTGTTGTCTTGAGCTTTTCTTAACAATGAGGTTGGCTTTCTATTCTACAGATGCTCTCATCCAAGGACATAAACTTTGTGGGTTATACTTACAAGAACGTTGAAATCGTAAACGAGGACCAGTTAACAGGGATAGGTATTCAACTTTTTATCTCCTCCTAATCTGTGTTTGAAGAAGAAGCAAACATAACTAGATTGTCTTTGCTTGTAATGTGTAGCTGAGCTTAAGAAGAAGAAGAACAATAAGCCAAAGCGGCCTTCAATTAAATCCCTCTTTGGTAAATACTTTTTTCCATTTATTAGAACAAGTGGTAGTGTATTGATTCTCTCTAATGAGAAAAAAAACATGATCAGAAGAGGATGAATCATCTGAAGAGAAAGCAACACACCAAGGAGGAAGCTTCTTGAATCTGTTACCGACGCAGATGGAAGATCCAGAGAAAGAAGGTAGTAAGTCCAGTTCATCAGGTGGGTGAAGAACAAGCCCTGATTTGACTGACACATTTGCACAGCCTGAATCAGACAGACTCTTCTTATATATGTGTGTGTTTGATTTCGTTGAAAGCCTTTTTTGTTTTCTCCAAAAGAGTTGCAAATGATGGGGGCTTTTTAACAAAAGTACAGTGTCTCCTGTGGAAAAGCAAAGGCATTTCCTCAAGGAGTGGAAAGATGGATTGTTTCAACAACATAGGGTTGTTTTGATTTATGTTAACAAAGAAAAAAGAGCAGTAAATATTCTTTTCGGAAGTGGTTTGTTTATTAATTTTCACAAGGAGATTTTTTTTTTTTTTTTTTTGTCATTTGGTTGATCAAAACTTGACTGTACTTACTAACTAGTAACTACACATCAAAAGATAAAATCATCACCCACTAACAATAGGAGCCAAGTCTTTTGTCTCTCTTCTGAGTCTTCTCTTTTAAAGATTTTATATTTTCTTCTGTGCAACACCTAACTCTTTATTTAATCTTGATTTTTATTTATCAAGAAACAAATAGATCTCGAATTATTCCGATCATCAAAACCAATAATTTCTTAGGAACTTGAACAGCTTGCCGTCGACCGTGGATCAGGCTATTGTAGGATGGAGTTTAATCATTTTTAAGGTTGGGTCTTATAGAGACAATAAATAAGACAAGTGATTGACACAATACAAAAAGGTTTTCTAAATTAAGCTTATTTAATGTGACAATTTTAAAATCCAAAAAAAAATTATAGCATTAATAGGTATAATAATGATGGTAAATTTTGAAGAATAATATATTCAAGTGTAAAATGAAAATAAATAAAAATTGTTGTTGTAAAATATGATAAGCTCTTCAAATTATATAATTCCATCTCAACTCAAGAAACTTGTTGTGTGAATAAATAATAATAAAAAAGGTAAAAAAAAAAGTTAATTCGAATGTTATGATTATTATGTAGTTTAATTATGAATATCTTATACAATAAAGTTGAGTTTTCTCCCTTCTCATGCATCCACATCAGCATTTGTGAGGGGGGCAAAAAAAGCCATGTCAGCATTTACTAATTGAAATCAAACCGGACAAAATTAATTCTCATCTCGGTTTGTCACATTATGATTTTTTGAGTTTTTGACAAAATGGATTTGGGCTCTTCAAAATATAAAGGCCAGTTATAGAATGATTTATGTATTACCCAACTTGCATAATTTTTTTAAGATTTACACACATTTTCAGTCCGTTAAGTTGTCTTCTTACCTTAGGTTTTAGAGATCAAACCGACGGTCATCTTTTTGTAAAGTTTTTTTTTACTTTTTTGTAAAGTTTGTTCTCATGCATCCTTATATTTCATATAAAATAATTAACACTTGCACAACTTATAACTAAACAAGGTTCATAGTTTGTATTACATATATTGCAACATCTTCGACGTTTTAGTGTACACAATTTAAAGTAACAAATGATAATAATTAACACAAATTAATAGAATTATGAAGATACCATCATAGAAAATTATGAACACTTTCATAACTCATATAAGATTACACAAACTACAGAGCTAATGAACACTTGCACAACTTCTAAAACAAAGAGCATAGCTTATATCACTTTGTTTAAACAAAGGTCGGAGCTTATATCACTTTGGTTTATGATTGCCACATATATAAGAATCTGTTCAAAAAAATGATTGCCACATATAGAAGGTTTTAGATGAAAAATTTATAAGCAACAAACTGATAATAATTAATTAACACAAAATAATAAAATTAAGAAGTTACCATTACAGAAAATTATGAACACTTGCACATCTCATAAAAAAATTAGACACATTTCAGAGCTTATATAACCTATATTGACACATCCTATACGCTTAGAAGACAAGTTTATAAATAACAAACTGCTAAAAATTAACAAAAAAAATTGAATTTAAGAAGCTATAACCTTACAAATTAAAGTTTATCGTTGCAGGGTGCCTACACGCCTCCCAACTGAATGATTAGCTCACACTGTAAATGCAGTGTAATTGCAAAAGCCAGTAGTTACGTATCTCCTACATTCTTTCACTACACAGTTCTGATGCTACTTCTTGATTCCTAATTACTTAACCATTACGATTTTCAGAAATAATGGTGAAGACGCCAGTTGAATTTAATGGCAAAGCAACCACGGGAGATCTCCCAAAAATCTTAGTGTTTCTGAACACTCCACCGCATCATCATCATATGTAACCAAAAGAAGTCATAAAAAGAAAAAAAAATTGGTCCAAATTAAAGGAGACGTAAACTAATTCTTTATGACTTTGACAACTTACTCTTTTGTAAAAAAAATTATGTACTTATTCCTACTCTTTAATATTTGTACCTCCAGTATCTGAACCACGGCAGCCTTGGCTACAAGATAAATATCTACCACGCACACCAGCCCCCCTCCCCCCCATATCAGACACCTATCAGCTGAAGCTCATCTTAATAGTGAGGGAATAAATCAGTACTTCTTCCACCACAAATCAATCAAAGCACTCAATCACCTCACATGTGCCAATCTGCTTATGGAAAATACGATAAGCGTATGTATCTTTGGGGTTTAGTAATGTTGTGCAGAGGAAACCTCAAAGAAGGAAAATATTTCTTTGATATCCTTGACTAGGAACACACACTATCAAAATCTGATCGCTGCTGGAATAAGATAAAGAGGTTCAAGTACTTTGGATATCCGATCAGATTTCTTGGATACACTACTGTGGCAATGCAATCAAGAAACTTATGTTCGGGACAAGAACGTTCTCTGAAAACACCGCACTTGACCGTGGACCAATGGCAGAGGACATTGAGCATATGGAAGCTATGTTTGAAGCATTAGCGTTTAAGTTCGCCTTTTATATCTCTGATTATCTATATATGCTCACAGGACTTGATTTTAACGGTCACGAGAATGGTGGCGTTTAAGATATTAACGATCAGTCTAGGATTGTTACTATTTTGTGTATAAGATATAAACGGCCAGTCTAGGATTGTTACTATTTTAAGAGGACGGAACTATATATTATCTTCCTTGAAAGAACATAATCACAAAACAAACACAACTATTTACATTTTTCATTTACAAACATGAACTTTACTTTATGTTTAAGTATTTACTAAATTAACTTTATAAAGTCTATCAAATTTTTACTCTACTTTTATTTGTTTCGATTAATAACACCACTTATGGTACTCCACTAATAATCAGAAAAGATCATTGTCTTCAACATAGTTACAACATCAAATTTCTGAACATAATCTCTTCACCAAGGCCACAAAATAAATCGCAACTTCTTTTATAATAACATATATGAATCCGGCGCGTAGCGTCGGTACACCACTAGTATAAAGATAAATATAAGACGTCAAAGTATTGTCTGTCTTGGCCGTCTCCTCCTCCTCTTTATCTTCTTCCTCGCATAGGTTAAAGTCAAGTTTTCACGTAATTCATCTAATACCTCAATTCTTCTTGTTTTATTATTCCTTCTTTCTTTTTTCTCTTCAATCAAAACTCAGATCCGAATCACTGATCCCATTCCCTTTTGATATCTTCGAACTAAAAAGAACACAAAAACTCTCTATTTCTTGCAAAGTTGTGGACTTTCTTGGTGGGTTCTTGCCACTTGATCATTTACTGTTTTGGGCACTAAGAAAAAAATCAAAAAATTCCGCTTGATTGCTATTTAGTGGGTTCTTCTAAGATGGATCAAGTAGTCATCGGCGGAAAGTTTAAGTTGGGTAGGAAACTTGGTAGTGGATCCTTCGGCGAACTTTATTTAGGTATCTATCTATCACCTTCTTGCTCGGTTTTTTTTTTTTTTTGTTTAGTGGCTTTATTTGATCTTTTTTTTTAATATTTGTATTCTTTAGGGATCAATATTCAAACTGGAGAAGAAGTCGCAGTTAAGCTGGTAAAAGCAGCTACTTTAGTCTTTTGAATACAATACTAAGTCTTTTGTTTGACTCTTTTAGTAAGATTATTTTTGTTGCTTTCCCCATTCAGGAACCTGTGAAGACAAGGCATCCTCAACTGCAGTATGAGTCGAAATTATATATGTTTCTTCAAGGGGGAAGTGAGTTTCGTTTGCTTTCTCTCATTCATCATTTTATATCAAGTGAAGTTTTAGTTCCAAAATGGTTTTTTCTTTGCTTGTGAATAATACAGCTGGTGTTCCACATCTCAAATGGTTTGGAGTGGAGGGTGAATACAGTTGCATGGTTATTGACCTGCTTGGGCCTAGTTTGGAAGACTTGTTCAACTACTGCAATCGTATCTTCTCTTTGAAATCTGTTCTAATGCTTGCTGATCAATTGGTAAAGCCTCTCTTTACTCTATTATGACTTCAAGTTAATATTTGGAATCTGTTCCTTTTGGATATGATGATGTTGTATCGGTGGTGCAGTTATGCAGAGTTGAGTACATGCATTCCCGGGGGTTTCTTCACCGTGATATCAAACCTGACAATTTTTTGATGGGTCTTGGCCGTAAAGCAAACCAGGTTTATATCATCGATTATGGCCTTGCTAAAAAATACAAGGATCTTCAGACACAGAAGCATATACCATACAGGTGCTTGTTTATTACTAGCTAAAACTCAGGACCTGTATTCCATACTTTCCTTTATGCGCCCTTCTTTCTTCCTGCTTGCTTTATTAGAGTTTCATTGTAAAAATTTACAGGGAAAACAAGAATCTTACAGGAACTGCACGGTATGCAAGTGTGAATACGCACCTTGGGATTGGTAAGAGCTTGCTTGCTTTCTTGTCTGCAAAACTCTTTGTCTTCTCTCGCTAACTCCCTTTTTTTTTTAATGCAGAGCAGAGTAGAAGAGATGATCTGGAGTCACTTGGTTATGTGTTGATGTATTTTCTACGAGGAAGGTTGGAATCTCTCTTGTTATAAAATAATTAAAATTCTTAAAACTTGAGAGTTCAATAATGTCTACTTGTGTATCACAGTCTTCCATGGCAAGGTCTAAAAGGTGGCACAAAGAAGCAGAAGTATGACAAGATTAGTGAAAAGAAGATGCTTACTACTGCAGAGGTACAATCATTCATTGTTAAAGAGGATAAAATGTACGTTTTCAGATGATATTTTGACTTAAGCTTGGTTTTACCTAGATTCTTTGCAAGGGATATCCATCAGAGTTCACCTCGTATTTCCATTACTGTCGGTCATTGAGATTTGAGGACAAACCAGATTATTCATATCTCAGAAGACTTTTCAGAGACCTTTTCATTCGTGAAGGTTTGAAACTTCTTGCTGTGTGTTTATTTGATTGTTTGTTTGTTTGTTTTGATGGAAATGAACTTATATGCTTGTAGGTTACCAGCTCGACTACGTGTTTGATTGGACAACCTTGAAATATCCTCAGACTGGCTCTAGTTCGAGACCAAGGGTTAGTTTAATACTATTGATTTCAGATCCAAAAAATTCATAACAATCCCAAAAAATCTTTATCTTGCTATTGTTAATGTCTATCGTTGACAACAGCCAAGACCAGCCTTGGACCCTAAAGGAACACCTGCAGACAAATCTGAAAAACCTACAGGTGCATTGTTGTTCTCTGTCTTTTAAGTATAGGGAGATGTCTTATAATAGCTTGTAAATTTATTAGACTGAGGATTTAATTTCGCTGCTATTGTTTAGTAGGAAAGGACCTCAGAGAAAGATTTTCAAGCGCGATGGAGTCATTCACCAGACGAAATGTATCAAGCCAAGGCGCTCATGGTGATCGCTCTACATACAGATCTTCTCATGTCAAACAAGACAAGGTTTGTTTTTTGTTGCTGTTTCTTTCCTTGCCCCCCCCCCCCCTCATCACCACTTATCATGGAAACTTCCCTACTTAGTTATAAAAAGTAATTAATTAGAAATTCTAAAGAATGTGAGAAAGTTTGTCTTGGCTTTTCACTTGCAGCACGAGTCTGATAGACATCGTTCTTCATCTCGAAATGGAAGTAGCAGACCTGGCTTGTCAGCTGAGCCGAGTGAGAACCGCTCAAGCCGTCTATTCTCAAGTGGGTCGCGTCTCGCCACAACTCAGCGGGTTCAACAGAGCTATGAATCCAAGCCATCATCTGCAGCAGGACATGAGGATGCCATAAGAACCTTCGAGCTCCTTAACATCGGCTCTGGAAAGAAAAAGAAATGAAGTTAGAAGGGTATGGTAGTGAAAAGACATGTTCATGCTTATAGAGATTCTCATCCTATGGAAAAAAAAACGCATTGTTTACTTACATTTGGAACAAGATGAGAAAGAGAATATATTCTGCCTCTCCCAATCTCTCATTGTCTGTGTTTTAAGAGAAATTCTTCATTTATCCTTTTGGTGTTAACTTGTGATGAGTACTACTTCAGGTTCTGTTTTCGAAAGCTTCAATGTAAGAATGAAATAAATGAAAACGACAGTAATTCTCAAGCATTGATGAGATGTTTTAACAAATGAAGAATTAGACAATTCTGCTTCTGCTCAAATATTGTAGAATATATTGATTAAAGAGCGGTCTACATATAAGTTCTTTCCCAACTTGAGAACTAGTCAAAGGTTACATATCTCTTAAGGCTACTACTACTAGTTCCTTTGAATAGACAACTAGACAAAGGTTAAAGTCTACCTTTGAACAGACAAAAGAAGAAGAGACAAAAGATAAACGGAGTGGAGCTGAGATGAGCTACAACGTGTGATGAAAGTCCCATCAACTTCGTGGTGGTTCAGTGTACTTCCGAGATAGGGGTAGTAAATTGCATCTTATTTTCCTTTGCTTCCTATACTGCTAGAGCTTCAGCCTTATTTGTTGTAGGAAGAACCTGATCATTCTTGGCTTGAAGAACCTTTTCATCATTTCCAGTGTGTTGAGAGAGCTCTCTCTGATTGCCACAAAGGGTGAATATATTCTCAATTCTCAACTTTCTAGAAGATGCTGATTCTTTGTCGTTAGTGGTACTGTTGAAGCAGTTTTCTTTACCCAAACCTTCAAATTTCAAACTAGGTTTTGGTGTTGTTATCGAGCAAATGCTTTTATCCTCCACTATCACTTTTTCTTCATCTTCTTCCACCTCTTCTTCTTCAAAGACAGTGCTCAGGCACACACGGTCAGCGTACATTATATTTTCTTGAGGCTTTGGTTGCAAAACGTTAGATAAATCTCTGCTGATTGTGTTGCTGCTTGGTTGGTATGAAACAGCACCTCCCCAAACTTGCTTAACTGGTTCTGGATCACCCATGTCAAAATCCATTGACTTCCCCATGTCAAGATCCATTGACTTCACCATATCATCATCCGAGTAAAGACTCCCGAGTCTCTTGGCAAACCCACTGGTTTCATCATTGCCTCCTCCACCCCTTGAGCGCCGGAACTCAACCTCGATTTCCTCCAAACGTCTTCTCATCATCTCCACTTCCTCTTGCTGCTGCACCATCCTTTCTTCCATTCTCCTTCTCTCCATCTCAACGAACTCCTCAGCCATTCTTCTGCATTCCTCAAGTTTCTTCTCTAGTTCAGCTTTCAAACTCTGTGTTTTCTCATTTACTTTCTCTTCGATTGCCTCCTCTTCATTGGTGGCACATGCTTCCTTCCGTAATAAGAGAGAACGCAACGCAGCAACTTCCTCCTCCTTCTTCTTCAGCTGCTTTGTTGCATCGTTCCTTTCTTTTTCTTGTTGTTTCTTCTCAGACTGGAGTTTTGAAATAAACTCATCCATCGCTGCTATTCTTGTTCCCAGAATCACAGCTGAAGAAGACTCATCACCCCCGTTCTTATCTTTGCTCAGAGTATGTGACCCGCGAACTATGCACTTTGCTTTTGCCCCATACTCTAGAGTGCAGAGAGTCTTGTGCATTTCCTTTGGATCCGGGCTCGCACATAGGATCATTAGAATCTTTGACTTATCATCTTCGAAAGAGTCCTACATCAAGAAAAACAGAAACAGAACTTAAGTACCTTCAAGCAGCCACAGAAAACACTTCCCAGAGGAGACAGCAAGAAATTCACCTGAAGCAGCATAGTCAGCTTACTGTCTCTAAAGGGCACGTGAGAGTCTCCATTAGCTATAGATTCCACAACTCGCTTCAGTGCAATATTTCCTTGGTTGATTTTAGCAGTCTATTGAATAAAGATATATAGTCTGTTAGTTTGATAAAATCAAATCAACTGAGAGATGAGGCTAGAGATTCAAAACATTACTTGCATCTTTGCTTCAAATCCGGTCTGGCCAGCTTGGTCTATATTCTCTGAACCAGCCATGTCAACAAGAATCAACCTTCCCCCAACAGTTGGCACGTCAAGTATGATCTACAAAATAAAAGAAACAATCACTTATTAGCTGTAACATAGAGAGATGCATATGCTTCAAGCATAAGATGTAAGTACGAACAATGCAGTGACTCCGGGAACTTCTTTCATTGCAAAGTGTGCTTTTAACAATCCTCCGTTTCTCCACTTTCGCAATTTCCTTAGAGATCTTCCCAGCTTCTGTCCCTGAAATGAAGGTTGCATTTTTGGCCTTCTTCCCCATTACTTCAAGCCTGGCCTGTAAAACAACAAAGTCCAAGACTAATCAACACAAAGACTTCCCAATGCCAAACACACAAATACCAGTAGCGAGATAACCATGTGAAGCATTGATCAACCAGAAAGCCATTAAAGTAGAGACACTAAGCTACAGCTCATGAACAAGTTCAATTTCACACAAAAGAAGAAAGAAAGCCAAACAAAACAAGTAGCGAGATAACCATGTGAAGGATTGATCAATCAGGAAGCCATTAAAGTAGAGATACTAAGCTACAGCTCGTGAACAAGTTCAATTTCACACAAAAGGAAGTCAAACAAAGCATAATCCTTTATATAAAACAATTCTAAAATAAACCACAAATACCAAAAAAAAAGAAGTAATATAACAATGTGAAGGTTTGATCAATCAGGAAGCCATTAAACGTCCCTAGTTAGAGACACTACAGCTTACAGCTAGTGAACATGTTCAATTTCACACAAAGGAACATGTTTCCTTTATATATAAGACACTAGTCTAAGAGAAACCACAAATTCCCAAAACAAGTAATATAGAAGGATTGGTCAATAAGGAAGGCATTAACTAGAGTTGATAATAGCCTAGTTGATAAGCTACAGCTACAGTTAGTGAACATGTTCAAATCCACACAAAGGGAACACAGAAAGTACAATCCTTTACACAAAGACTAAGATAGTTACCTTATTGCTTCCTCCTTTGTGACAACCAAACCCTAAACTGCTACTACCACAAGTCGAAAGAAGATCATAAATCTCCTCATTATAAACCTCAACAACAGACACCTGAACAAAACCAACACCACCATCTCCACCCAAAACATCCCTCAACGACCTATACACAATCCCACATTCCTTCTTCTTCCCACCAAACATAGTATGACTCTTCCCAGCACCAGTGGGTCCATACATCACCACCGTACATTTATCCCCAACCTTCACTCCCTTAACCCTCTCTTCCACAAACCTCTTGTAAAACGACTCCACGCTCTCTTCCTCCGAGAATGATACTCCGTCGAGTGTGAAGTCTCTGTACCCAGTGGCGTCGGTTCTGACTCGGAGCGTTTGGTCGTTGTTGTCTGGGTTTAGTTGTAAGATTGAGTTTGGGCTTTTCTCCGTAGTGTGGTTTCTGATCCGTCCGATTACTTCGATTGGGTGATCCGTTTGGTCTGGGTTTGGGGTTTTGGAGTTGAAGTTGAGGCGTTGTTTGGTTTGTGGGGTTTTGATTATGGTGAATTGTGATCGAGTGGAGGGTGATGGTGTTGGTGCCATTTTAGAAGCTTTTAGAGATTCAGAGCTGAGAGAGAGAGAGAGATTTTGAAATTGGGATTTAGGGATTGAGATTTTGAAGTTTGAAGTTTGAACATACAAACAACACCATGACACTTTTATCTCTAAACGGCTAGTTTTTTTATCCACGGGCCTGGGCCAGCTAGATTTTTTGAACTCTGTTTTATTGGGCTTATTGTTGGTTAAATAAATGGGCTTTAAATATTTAGGCCCAGAAGATATATATAACAGGCGCTAGGGTTTCTCAAAAATTCTGTTATAACCCAAACCCTATTGTTTCTTTGTGTTGTTTTGGCAGCGGACGACGACGGCGCGAACTTCACTGAAGATCGAAAATGGTGAATCTCGTTCTCTTTTTGTTAAGTCTCTTATAGTTTAGGACGAAGTTATTGTTTATTATTCCTCTGAGTTGATTGGGTTTAGTGTAGTGAGATCCTACGATTTCAGGTTCTGTTGTGATTATTTTGAGATGCGGGGAATGTATTAATTTGTAAAAGGATTAGCTTTGATTATTTGGGTAGTTGGTTCATATGATTCCGACTAATTAATATATGTTGTTGAGACCATTTTCTTGTGGAAGTTAGCTCAAAAGTTGTTGTGTTTTTTTGGGGTGAATTGTAGGTGAACATTCCTAAGACAAAGAAGACTTACTGTAAGAACAAGGAATGCAAGAAGCATACCTTGCACAAGGTGACACAGTACAAGAAGGGTAAAGACAGTCTTGCTGCCCAAGGAAAGCGTCGTTATGACCGTAAGCAATCTGGTTATGGTGGTCAGACCAAGCCTGTCTTCCACAAGAAGGTAACCATTCTAACACTGTGTTTCTTTTGATTCTGAGAATCAACTCTTGAGTTTCCTTTTTGTAGTTTTATTTGTTATGTCTGCCCTCTGAGAATCAGTGTAGTACATTATTAGCCTTTTGGTTAGAGACTGTTTGTTTTACATGTTAAATGTGTCTGATCAATCGTCTGTGCTTATTGTTTATTGTAATCTTTTGGAATAGGCTAAGACAACCAAGAAGATTGTGCTGAGGCTCCAATGCCAAACCTGCAAGCATTTCTCTCAACACTCAATCAAGGTAAACATGCATTCTTTTACATGTTGTTTGACACTTGTGAAGTTTTGAGTACTTTTAACATTTGTGTGTGCCTTTTGCAGAGGTGCAAGCACTTTGAGATTGGTGGAGACAAGAAAGGGAAAGGAACTTCTCTGTTTTAAGTTGTTTCCTCTTATCTACTTTATTATCTTTTGTTTTGGTACTTGTCTTGCTTGGACATGCGAATACATTTTGAATCTTCCAGAAATTGGTTATTGACTTATGAACTATTAAAGGGTATTGTATTATTGAGAACCTACTTAGGACAGACACTAATGACACTCATTTATGCCTTTTCGAGGCCGATAAACTATATTTTTAAAATTTGCAAAATTACAAAAAGGAAACTCGGCAAGTGCTTATTGTTTTGATGAGCAGATCCTCTACCACTCGCACACAAGTCTCTTTACCATCAGAATGTCAATCATTCCTGACATGTTTTATCAAGGGGAGGAAACTCTCCAGGATCCACGATAGTTTTAACCGCACAGATACAACGATCAATTTCGGACAACATTGCGTGACAAGTAGACTCAATGGTCAAATCATCCTAGTCGTCATCATTTTTTTCCGCTCTAAAACCTCACTGAATCCTCTTTGTTTTGTAGATGTTTAACTTTTTTGAACTTGGGGAACTTCTGTAACATTTTTTTTTTTTTTTTTTTTGTAACTGCACTTCTGTAACATAGAACCATGAAAGCATAAAGGTGGTTGGTAATTTGGCCTTCTCTCTCGGAGGGAGCACGAGTAGGAGCTTACGTGTATCTGTTTCCCGCTGTCAGTATCTTTATTCTACCATATATCATTGAGCATATACACTTCTTGGATGATAATTGTATAAGCAAAACATATGTTAATGTTATAATACATATACGCATTTAAAATTACGTTAATAATCATAAAAGGGCGCGCAATACTTCACTTGGAAGTAAAAGAACAAAAACAAAGATGTTGAAACTCTATTTTTGTCAACTTGTGCTAGTGTAAAACATGCAATATAAGTTGACATCTCTCTCGTCTAATATTAGAAGAAACGCTAGGATCAAAAAAAATAAAAAACAACTTCGCTTAATGCCAAATACAAGGATCACATGAATATATTAATTAACCAAACAATTTGCAAATGTGAAACACACTCTTGAATTTGTAGATGTAGAGAGTCAGAAACACATAATCTGGAAAATACATATATAGATACGGATACTACATATTAAATAATCAGTGTAGAAAAAAAAAAGAGATTATTTCACTTGGAAGTAAAATGAAGATAGAGAAACACAAAGACCAAGACGATGGGAAACAGCAAGATGAGCGGAGGAGTTGGTGGAGTGATTGGTCCCATCATCAACGGAACGAACAGTAACATCATCGCTACGACCACTATCGCCAAAATCGAACCCGATCCGATTCCATCACATTCATTCACCATTTCTCTTCTTTTCTTTGAATTAAAGTTGATCTGTTGTGAGTAATGTGTAAAACTATCGTTACTTTATTTGAGTAATTTATAAAGATATTCAAGCATCTATAAAGAGTTGTGTCGTTTGAACATAGAAATAGACACAACGTTTCGCCTATATTTGCATGAGAACAAAAAACACACGCACGTTAATAACCGAACACACAACTAACATCTAATACGCAGCGTTTTATCTTTTGTTTTTTTATTGCCGTCACGTGTCACCTTAAAACGCATCGTTTATCATTTGTTTTTATTGCCGTCACGTGTTATAAAACACAGCGTTATATAAAACGCAGCGTGTTACAATAAAACGTTGTTTTATCATGAGATAATTGGCTAAAGTGCCATATTTGACACCTATAATTAGAGAATTACCCATAATATGACAATAACTTTTTTTTTGGATCATTTTGCCCTCTTCTACACTCTCTCTCCTCTTTTTGACATCTACCCTCTTTTTTTTTTCTCTTCAATCCTTAATTATTTTACAAATCTCTATCATTCTATATACAACTAAATTTTAAATTTCATTACTTTTTCAAAAAGTGGCTTTGAATCCTCAATTTTGACCTTTTTTGCCAAATGGTTGTGTCAGTGTCCTTCATATCCAATCAATGGTATTTTGCTAATTTGGCTTCAAATATGGGTAGTTCACTAAATCACTCTTTTATCATTTGTTGTCATTGCCTCCACGTGTTAACTTTCAAAAAACGCTGCGTTTAGCACATCAATCAATGCTGAATTCAAAAACTCAAATAAATTTGAAATTTTTCCGTTATCCCGCCAAATTCTTAAAACGAAGACATTTCAAAAACCTAAACGTTTGTCGTCTTCTGATTAAATTAGCCTCTCATTTATCACTTTTCTCTTTCACAATCAAAAAACACTTTTTTCATTTTCCTCTCTTCTCCCAAAGCCTTATGTCAGCTTCATCAACTCGCCGCCGTATGAAAGACATGAACACCGGAGAAACCCCATCTTCCGGGAAAAAGCCCATAACTCCACTTCCCATCTCCACCAAAAACCAGATCCATCCATCTCTCCACAAATCATCATCAAGCAAAGAGAATCCAAATCCAAATCCGAAGCCTAGTCACCGTTCATCGCAGAAGCCTCTTCTCCGGCAAGTCCCGCGGATCGATAAGTCAGCTATGAAAAGCGTCGGTGATGGCGAAGGGGTTCGTGTCACTCGATCCAAGTCTTCTGTGCTACGAGGGAGAAGCTCTAGCCCGTCTGATCTAATTAGGGTTTTCTCGGATTTGAGGAAGAGGAATGAATCTAGGGTTTTGGGGGAAAAGGGGGAATCGGATCAGGTTTGCGAGGAAATAGATGAAGAGAGTAAAAATAAGACAAATTTGAGGTTAGGTGATCCAAAGGCGGATGCTTTGCTTTGTAAAGGTGAGAAGGTAGTGAAAGGGGGTAGTGGAGGGTTGAGAAGGAAGTCAATTGATAACGTTGGGAAGGCGATGGAGGGGAGCAGTAGTTTCGTTACTGCTAAGTATCAAAGCAAGTTGCATGAGAAGCTTGCTTTTCTTGAAGGGAAGGTTAAGAAGATTGCTTCTGATATCAAGAAGACAAAGGATATGTTGGATTTGAATAGTCAGGATTCTTCTCAGGGTATGATCTCTGATTTACATGAGAAGATCAGTGGGATTGAGAAGTCTATGGTTCATGTTGTTGACGAAGGGAAAAACAAGAGTATCAAAGCGAAAGCTTCGGTGAAAGGGTTGAACAAGGAGGAGCTTGAAGACAGGCTCTTTCCTCACCAGAGGTTGTTAAGGAGCAGAAGTCAGTCTAAGTCAGTGTCACAAGTCTCGAAAGGTCAAGGATTTGGTGGGTCTTCTAGCAAGGCGGTAAATGTTGAAGTGAAGCCATCGGGTCCTGTTGAGGAGAATCCAATAGCGCTGGAGTTTTTGGCCTCACTTGACAAGGAAAAAGTCGCATTAGGGAGTGATGAGAATGTGCTGGAGAATCTGGAAGTTGAGGAGATGGATACAGAGGAAGCCTCAAAGGAGAACAATCCTTCAAAAGACGTTAATCTGACTTCCAACTTGGCTGAAATTCTCAGAGCTGACGAAGACCTTGAGGAAATTGATGAGGAAGAGAAAAGAGATGAGATGGAGCTGGAAGAGTTAGAGAATGGTTGCATGTATCAACTTAATGATATTGAATCCAAAACTTCTACTGGAGGGTGGTTTGTATCAGAGGGCGAAGCTGTTATACTCGCTCATGATGATGGCTCATGTTCGTATTACGACGTTGCTAACAGTGAGGTAATATGCTTATTTACTTTGCTAATGGAGCATTTGTCATTAATCTGTGCTTGATCTAACTCGAATAGTGCTCGTGTAGAACACTGATATTAAATTCTCACATTGAACACATCGTACACATTTGTCAAGCTATCATGTTGATGATGCTTGACATTATGTTTCTAATTTAGATTCGTTTTCCTCTTAAACTTGCAGAAAGACTTAATTACTAAAGCTGTTTTGGCTTATATGTTGCATGTAATACTCTAGAATGTATTTTTCTATCATTCGGGGTGGCTTTGTATGTGGTGACTGACAGTAGTATGTTGTTATATTTAACATCAAAGATCTGAAATTTCTTTTTTTCAGGTAAAATCTGTGTTCAATCCTCCAGATGGCATTTCACCAAACACTTGGAGAGATTGCTGGGTGGTTCGTGCACCCGGTACTGATGGCTGCTCAGGCAGATATGTTGTAGCTGCTTCTGCTGGCAATACAATGGAGTCTGGATTTTGTTCATGGGATTTCTACACCAAAGACATAAAGGCATACCACATTGAGGACGGATCTTCAAGAGTTCCAAGGACTGCTCTTGCTCCTTTATCAAACAACACATCCCATGGGAGGAACACTTTGGCTTGTTCATTGTTACCAGAAGCTCAACAATGGTGGTACAGACCATGTGGTCCTCTTATAGCTTCAACTTCTAGTTTCCAAAGTGTAGTTAAGGTTTTTGATATACGAGATGGGGAACAAATCATGAGATGGGAAGTGCAGAATCCTGTCTCAGGTTTAGATCATTCGAGCCCTTTACAGTGGAGAAATCGAGGAAAACTTGTCATAGCAGAAACAGAAACAATTTCTGTTTGGGATGTCAACTCCCTTCACCCTGAGTCACTGCTCACCATTTCCTCCTCAGGGAGAAAAATCTCAGCTTTTCATATCAACAACACAGATGCTGAAGTTGGGGGAGGTGTTCGTCAAAGGTTAAAACCTTATTTCACCATTTTGTTGCCTCTTCATATTCCCCTCGCTTTGTCTAGTAAAGTGAACATATATGAACATGATGAAACTAAAAATGGATACTTTTAGTATCTCTTTCAGTTGACTTATTTTGTTTGTCTTCACACCTGAATTGCAGAGTAAGTTCCATGGACGCTGAAGGCAACGATGGAGTTTTCTGCACTGCTGATTCAATCAACATCATGGACTTCCGTAACCCATCTGGCATTGGCGCTAAAATCCCCAAGCTCGGTGTTAATGCACAATGTGTATCATCTAGAGGAGATTCAGTATTTGTTGGAAACAATCTGAAATCATCATCTGCTAAGAAACCAGTCGGTTCTTCCTCTCAAGTGCAGCAATTCTCCTTAAGGAAACAGCGTCTAGTGAGCACTTACAGCCTGCCTGACTCTAACACTCACTCGCACCACTCTGCAATAACCCAAGTCTGGGGAAATTCAAACTTTGTCATGGCTACTTCTGGCATGGGACTTTTCGTGTTTGATACTGCAAAAGAAGAACCTTTGGTAAGTGGTGAGAATGGAACAGTAAAAGAGGTTATTGGTCCAAACGATCTGTATTGCCCTTCGTTTGATTATGCAAGTTCTCGTGTCCTCCTCATCTCAAGAGATCGTCCTGCTTTATGGAGGCACATCTTATAGGTAAATCAATATACTTTTGAATCAATGGTATATCTTAAATTTTGGGTCAGATGTTGATAGTAGTTGAATTTTTATTTTCAGGGGATTTTGTTAGATGAGTCAATCAAGAAATCAAGCAAACGATTGTGTTACCGTGGTCGGTGTGGGTGATTCTTATCTTGTTTAAACGGATTTTGTCTATAGCACAGCCTGTGCTGCTTCTCTTGTGGTGTGGTGTGTTAAAGACAATATAAGTACCAAACTATGCGCTTCTGAATTCTCTTGTTGTCTGCTTTCTGTTTATTTGCCTTCAGTTTGTACATACATCTGGTGTTTTGATCAATGTCACAGGTTTGTACGCATGATTTCTAGGTTACAAAATGATCCGAAGTATTCAAAGAAAACTTTTGAAACAAACATATTTTTACCTTAAATCCATCATTGCCCCTTAAAATTTCACATCGTTATGGGTTTTGTACTAAGTTTTGTTTTTAGCTCTTTTGAGTTAAGGTTTGTGTGGCTGAATGTGTCAGGGGACTGCTTCTGGTGCTTTGGTATGTTGTACTGATGCCATAAGCTCAAAAGATCTCTGGAGTTGAACTGATTCAGTTCAGGAGATTGCTTCTCTCATGGTTTCTTGTTTTTTTCCTTGTGATTTCTAAAAGTTTGATTACAATACCTTGCTTAAATCTGAGATTCTGAATGTAAATTCTGTATGATCTGTCTGTGTAGTTGGATGGGTTATGTTTTTTTTTTTTTTGACGACGGATGGGTTACGTTATTGTTGGCCATCTGGTGACTTCTACAACAAACTGATGTATATGCTATTTTCAAAGGGAAGAAGGGAAAATACAGTAGTGGCCAAAAAGAATTTTGCCTTTCAGTTTCAAACGTTCTTCTCCTCTGTACCAAATGAAGCATCTTCAATTTTATAATGGTGTATTAACGTCTAAGTAGATTATCATAATCGAAACCTATGGACTCACCAAGTTTATGGACTGACTTTTCCTCGAATGTTCTTTAACAGTTTCAAATAAACAACAGAAACATTATTCAGAATGGAATGCAGGAAAGATTGTTGAGTGGTCTCGAGAAACAACAAGCAGAGCACAAAGGCTGAACATGATGTTTAACAGCTAGTAATTGTCTTTATGCAAATCCTAATATGCAGGTTTAATGTTGGTTACTGTATCGACAATTCAACCACATTTTAAGCGACCACCAAACTAACAACCACATCTTTTATCCTTGTACCCATATATGGAAGGGACAAAAAACTTAAAGCACGTATGGAGTTGTAGTATTGTAGACTAGAAAATGCGTCGATGGAGACATAAATAGATGCAAAAAGATGTGATGGGGATTATATGAAAACGTACTAAACTCATTAACAATCAGTCAGTTGTTAGTAGTTGGAGTAACTTAATGCGATTTTTTTACTTAAAAGAGTTTGTGTAAATTAAAAAAAAATGTTTCAAGTGCAGTTTCCTACTCACACTATATAAACGTTTGTAATGTAGATAGTTCATGCTCATCGAACTGCAAAATATTTAAAAAAAATAACAAAAAGAGACATGGGGCGTCTTGTAAACGGAGCTTCTCTCTTGGTTTTGTTGTGTTTCCATGTTTTTGTGATGAGCAATGTGGCTGCAAGAGATGGTGTGAGCTTTGGCAGAGATGAAGAGCAGAAGACTTTCATAGGAGGTGGAAAGGGCTTTGGAAAAGGCTTTGGCTTTGGGAAGGGCTTTGGCTTTGGGAAAGGTGGTGGCTTCGGCAAAGGCTTTGGAAAAGGTGGTGGCTTCGGCAAAGGAATAGGCAAAGGCTTTGGCAAGGGCAAGGGCAAGGGCAAGATTGGACACAACTGAGATAAACAAGAAGAAACTTGTAGTTGCACTGCATCTGCAAGAGTGACTTCGGAATAAAATAACTTTGCTTTCACTTATGTCTAGTGAGCTTTCACATTAGCTATCTATCTATGTTTGTTTCATTTTCATCATGAATCTTTTTCCCTCACAAAAGAATCTAATATGCCACCACAAGACTCTAAGCAAGCACTTGGTAACGACTTGACTTCTTTCTTCAAGCGACTACCTCCTCAACTCCGAGACCTTGAATCGTTGGCTCCACCTAAAGAACTCAAGCACATCCTTGATGAGTCCTGTACAACCACACACGACCCAAAAATGATTACGCCCTTGTCCAAAAGCCACACTTTGAACTAGTTTCTAAAGCTTCCCCCTCCATGCTACCACTACCTCTACTACTTTATACTCAAACCACACATTTAGTAACTTGTCTCACCTCCATCTGTTTTAAGCTATATCCACCAGGGCCAAACAAATATAGCACAATCAAAAAACAAAACCACTCACTAGGATTTAACCAATATAATAATGAAAGCAGCGAAGCCTTAGTTATATAAAGTCTTACGAAACTCAAAAGGTACAATCAACCGAAAAAAATAACTTTAACAGAAGCCAAAGACTTATTGTAATAAATAGCACAATGCTTATAAAGATTGAAGCAGTCCAACCCTTTATGAAGCTGAGAGGAACCTTTGATTTGGAATAAACTTCTTCAACACAAGGATCCACAAACTAGGGTGGTGACTATTGCCCTTGCCTACCCAAACCATACCCTTGTGACGGGTCATAACCTCCCATGTAGCCACCAGGATTGTTCAAACCACCAACACTAGGTCTCCCTCCAACCGCACCATATCCGGCTTGACTTCCATAACCAGAATCACCATTTCCACCATACCCTCCATATCCGTACTGTGGCTGAGCAGAAGGAGGAGCTCCACCGGGAACACCATATCCACTTTGAGCAGCTCCATTCCCATAGCCTCCGGGGTTCCCATACCCACTAGGAGCTGGAGCTGGAGCGTCCCATGAGTTTCTCGGAGCACTACTTCCATAGCCAGCACCTGGCATGCTCGTTGCTCCATATGCAGCAGCACCAGCACCATAACCTCCGTATCCACCAAATCCAGCACCATTACTACCATTTCCATACCCACCACCACCATAACCTGAAGAACCATAAGACGGTAAACCATTTCCTACATTTTGAGGCTGCATATACCTATTGAAATCCATACGCCCATCAAAACTACTTTCATTGCCACCAAAACCCTGGTAACCACCGCCACCACCAACACCACCCATGGCTCGTCCAGCACCACCTGGATTAGCATCTTTAGGAAGAGCACGCTTCACTTCAACTTGCTTACCATTCAAATCATGGAAGTTCTTCTGAAGCACACGGTCCACGGCATCTTCAGAGTCAAAGGAGACAAATCCAAACCCGCGAGGACGGCTAGTAGTCTGGTCATGCATGATTACAACATCAGCCACAGGACCATAAGCTTCAAAGTACTGACGAAACTCTTCGTCTGTCAAAGTAGGTGGCAAGCCTCCAACAAAGATCTTCTTTGTTTTATTGTAAGAATCTCCTCCAGAGCTTCTGGTTGCATTGAAGCTCCCAGCTCTTCCAGAGACTTGCTGCTCCTCTCTTGACATCGCTCTCTTCACATCAACCTAAAAAAAAAATCATTAAAAGCTTAGGATAATAAACCTCCAAGAATCATTGTTAATCAACTAAAATATACATACTTCCTGCGTTCATACATTAAGAAATGATTAATACATACCAATAAATATCTTGATTTATGTGTCCTATAACTTTAAACCAATAGTTTTAATCAAAACTTCTTGAATTTAACAATTTATTCCTTTTTAACTTAATAAATATGCATAAAGTTTCCATCTTTGTGAAACAATTATCTTTTCCTTCAAAACATTCATCTTTGTGGAGATTAACAGACCAAACCAAACTCTCTTAACTGATTCTACACTCAAACACTTATGATTCACAACATAAATACTAATATCAAATTTTTAAATCTAATTCCTCATTTCCTTAACAATTAAACAAAAGGGCAAAAACGTAAACAGACAAAAAAGTGGGGGGGGGGGGGGA